ATATCTCTAAAGACAAAGAAGATCCATGAACTCACTGGATGAAGAAAAAAAACAAAAAGAAAGGTTTCAGTTTGACCTATAAGCGTGCCAAGATGGATAAAGGAACACGATCCAATTCATATTCAAATAATGTTAATTTTAAATAGATTCTCTATTAATCCGATCTATTTGATTATGGATTGAATCCATTTTTTTGGAAAATTTGCTAAAGAGGGATGAAATAGAAAGGTTTGTCAGAGTTAGGATTAAGAGAAACTTTAAAGCGGTGTTTTATATATGACTCACGTCATACATTCACAGGGTCGGCCCTGAGATTTTGGGGCCTGTGACGGTTTCTATGTAAAAAAAATTTTTGGGGGCCTAAAAAGTTTTTTGGGAGGCCTATACTTATGTAATTTTCTTCAAAATTTTCGGGGGCCTGAAACAAATGTTTCATTAGGCATGCCCCAGGGCCGACCCTGCACATTCAGGCTTCTTTCTCTCTCTTTTGCCGGATCATCTTCCCTCATTCTCTTGTGACTCCGTGGCCGATTACCTCAGCATCTGTTCTAGACATCCTCACACACTGAAAAACACTCACCCAAATCAAGCAACTCCATGCCTACATCCTCCGTACAGTCTCCGTACATCATCACCTCAACTTCTTTCTCTTCAACCTCTCCTCTTCTTCTTCTTCCTCAATCAGTAGTCTAAACTACTCTCTTTCCCTCTTCTAATCTCTCCCCTCTCCACCTGAACCCTTCCTCTTCAATCTCCGTCTTCCTAATCTCTCTCGTTCCGCTCAACCTAGAGCAACGATCCTCTTCTACCAGACAGGGGCTAAGCTAGAGAATATATTCAATGGGTGCATTATTGGTAATAAACTTTAAAAATGTATGAAAAAAGATTTGAACTCAAGATCATATGGGTGCATAGACTGAGTTTTGCCATCTAATTCACCAAAATATCAATGTTTGTGTCTTTAAAATTGTGAATATCAATATAATCATGGGTGCACTTGCCACCACTCCTCATAAGGTGGCTTCGCCCCTGCTACCAGAGGATCAGAGATGCAGGTGGTCGTCTCGATCAGTTCAGTTTCACTCCGATTCTTAAAGCAACATTGAAAGTCTCCACCTTGTTCGAGGGGATGGAGCTTCACGGCCTTGCGTTTAAGATCGCCACGCTTTTAGACCCATTTGTGAAGACTGCTGTTATGGATATGTACGCTTAGTATTGTCAGAGGCGCACAAATCAGTTGTAGGCACTATAGAAAAAATGAATATGTATGTGTAATTATCATTGTTTATCTGTAGCAAATCTAAACGACGGAAAGGAATCTTCTCATCATGTCTATATGTAATAATAACACTTCTTGCATTGGTGTTTTATGGATTCCCTATTGCAGCTTTGTGGAATCCTTTGTGCTTTTAAATTGATCATGTAAAGTGGGTTTTATTTTTTTCTTATTCTTCCAATGATATACGACGTATGTATTCCCAGCAAGCTTCTGATTTGGGTTTGTTCTTCTCCCAGCCAAGTCTATCCAAATAAGTGTTCCCTTTTTTGAACTTTCCAGTGTGGAGCATGAGCAGGCCGTAGATATATATTACATAGTCGTTTGAAGCTGTGTCTGAGGTCCATAGGTGATGCAGGCTATTGTTGATGTTTTTGTACGTAACGTATTAACGTTACTCCTCTAGGCCTACAATGTAGTGGGCACCTGGGTTGTTGTGACTGAGGCATGTTGCCATAACTGAGAGTTTCTACATGATTGTTCGTACTGGATGTTTGGCTAGCTCCGTGACGTTTAACTTTCTGTAACCACGTCGGTCCTTTGTAGCTTGTGTGAGTGACAGTGTACTGAGCTTACATTGGCTGAGATCATAACGTGAGGTTGGTGATATCTATTTGTTTGCTTTCTTGTGTTTTCTTTTTCTATTTTGTCGTTGATGGTTTCTAAAAAGGATTGTAAAGTATATATACCGGTTTTGTGGTGTATCGTAGCTTCACTTTTCCTATCTTGTTGAGCCAAGCAGAGGTAATGTTGCCGGAGGTGACTGCCCAAACGCATATACCCACACAGTGATCCCACAATGACAATGCCATAAATATACAAAATATATTTATATAAAATCTGTAGTCCCCATGTGAATTTCCATTGAGTAGGGTTTATATATTTTGTTGTTTTCTGATAAATAATTTGGGTTCTATTCAAAGGAATGTCAATTAACGTGACGTTAACGTTGCTCCTATACTAAGAACGCTGTAGAGAAATTATATGGACCAATTTGCTTCACCTCCCCCATAACATAGGATCATTCTTCACCCCCTCCAGTTTAAATTTTACATTCCTTCCATTGATTAAAAAGATAAATCGCCAGATTGATAAATTCAGGTTCAAACGTATAAGCTGGACTTTGCACGTACATAGATGCATAGTGAAACCAAATATAATAAGGGACAACATAAGACTTGGCCTAGAACGTTTTTCTGCTTTAAAACGAGTGATTATTTTTGAAGAGTACATGTGGAAACATGAGAAGTGAGCAATGATGAGTTGGCATCTTGTGAAGAGAATAAGTTTTAATTTATTTATATAGATAGATTGAAAGATATAGATTAGAATTTTTATAGCTTATGTGTTTTCATATAAATACCCTCTTAAAGTTATAATTTTATGAGAATTAAGTTAAAAAAACATAAATTTAGTCTCTTTGTCCCTTTGGTATAAAACCAACATGAAATTGCCCCTATATAGTATAATATTTCTCTTAATCCCAAAACTGACCCTTGTTTTAATCAAATATAAATTAATTTATAATTAAATTTCACATTTTTAAAGTAATCTTAACAAAAGAAACAAAATATTAAAAAAGTAATAAACTAAAAACCCCCAACATCGAGCAAAGATCCTTGGACATATTGTATCACTTCTCTTTTTTGGAGATCATAGTATCAACATCATAGGCATCTTCATCAGATTCAACTCGTTTCATCTTTTCTTTCTTCTTCGTGCTCTGCATCTCAGCAAAAACATCAGTTGATTTGTCCTCTCTATTGAACGAGTTTCGCTTCTCTTCATTAGTACTTGAATATGTTGGCGACTTATTAAGATCAAAGTCTGCTTCATTTCGATTCTCAGTTTTGGCTTTATATATTACACACAATCGAGTCGAGACATTCTTTTTGACAAAACCAACAAAATTCTTAAACTGTCGATCATTTGAAATGATCACAGATGGACATGTTAATGTATTAATCAATTTAGTAGGTAAGTAACTCAACTCCTGATCGGCTAAGCTATATTCTTCCATACCAAAATCCTCCAATACACTTCTTTTTAAATCCTCAAAGGTAGAACTCGATTCCAACAACTGTAACCTACCCCCTTTGTCATCAGCCGAAAACACTCATCCCCTTGTTTCACTTAATTCCCATACACCACATGTCGTATAGATATGCATCATACAAGAAAAGTTTGTGAAGATCAGAAAAAAACAATGGAGAAATTTAGGTTGGACGAAGAAACTAACTTTTAGTCGATATTTTTTTTTGTTTTTTTTTTGGACAAGGTAAATCGTTTCCCCCACGTTTATGGCAGTTACAAAGATTACAAATCTTTTTAAAATATTTTCATAAATAACTTCCAATTTTTTTTGAAAATCTTGTTTATCAAATCTCTAGAATATACCTTCTAAACATTGTAGAAACCATAACATTTTTCTGAATGCATATTCTAGTATAAATAGACTTCTGAGTTATGTTTAGATTTCATATTCCAGAAATTTTAAAATTGCTTCTAAGAGTAGAATTTTTATTCAGTTATTTTGTAGAAGCATTTACATTGTGTAGACGTTACATTCTTTATATTTCGAGTTTTTTTATAAAAATAGATTGTCGGTTCTAAAAAAATAGAGTTATTTTTTTAACATGGATTTTGATTTCTACCATATCATTTTTTTTTGTAGAAGATGAAATTTATTTTTCGTAGAACAGTTAAAATTTTAATTTAACAAATTTTACAAAATTAGAAAATATCAGTTTAAAGGTATCCTTCTGGTGGGAGAAAGGTTCATGGGTCGTCATATTAACGTGGATCCAAAGTGTAAGCGATGTTGCATCTCAGAATCTATTAATCATTTCTTGTTTCATTGTCCGTTTGCTAGAGAGGTGTGGAAGCTTTCCCCTCTTGATGGAGACTTTTATGTGAGCAGATTAACAGATTTGAGAGCGGATTGGAAGAAGTTACACTTGCGAAAATGTCTCCCTCCAGCTGCAATCATATCTACTCCACTGACTCCTTGGATCTTGTTGTCTTTATGGAAAGCACGTAACAAGTTCACCTTTGAGAGTTTCGTGGGGACTCCTGCAGATACGGTATCACAGGCTATAAGAGCATCCCCATTGGGGGATTGTAACGGAGGTTCACATGTTTTTCGAGGCAAAAAATGGTGAACCCGCGTCGCGTGAACTCACTGGTTCGCCATGTGGCGGGCCATGATTTGCTGAATTTTTTTTTTTGAAAAAGTCAAACAAAAAAAAAATTAATTAAAAAGTGATCTAGGATTTCGTGCCCGGCCAAATAGCTGATGGAGATGCTCTAACTGCAGCTAAAGAGTGGGAAGCGTGGCAAGAGAAGGAAGAGAAGAGAAATCAGGTAACCAATGTGGGGGTTGGGACTCAGGTGAAAACAGTTACCAGATCAGATGCTGCATGGTCGGAGAGAAGTCGGAAAGCAGGTTTAAGCTGGGTAGTCATGATGCCGGAACAGAGTAGCAAGGTAATGAGGGGTGCCAGCTTTGCGGAAGGTCTGGCGCTCAGAGATGCGGTGGTCTCCTGCCGGAATCTAGGAGTAAAAGAGGTGAGATTTTTGAGTCTGATTCAGATCAACTAATCAAAGCTATCAACGACAAGGACCCGGCCTTGGAGCTACACAGTATTTTGGAAGACATTAGGAGTTTATCGAGTGTTTTTAATGTGGTTGTTTTCATGTGGATCTCTCGTGTGAAAAATGTTGAGGCAGATATGCTTGCCAAGAATGCTTTTATCTTTGTATGAACAAGAGTTGGTTGAAAAAAAGTACACCAATAATGTTTGAAGTTGGCGAAGATGGCAGTTGACAACAAAACAGACACATCTCGAACAATAAGATGTTCCAATCACACACACAGAAGTGGCAAAAGCAGAAGTTTTTTTTGTGGTACAAAACGGCGTTGAACCAAGTTTACAGTAAAAGAAAAAAGCAGGAACTTTGGACTGCATTTAGTGATGATGTCTGGTTTCCGCACCAAGTTTTTAGTGGGCTTGCATTTCTACACCTAGAAATTCAAAGGTGCACAAAGTGAGGAGTGTAACAAGAAACCTAATAAACCAGGGATTCTAAAAAGGACCATAAGAAAGGTATATATTACCGAAAGAAGCTTAAGAATCAGAAGCAGTGTGCCGACAGAATCGCTCTTTAGCTCCATTTTCCCATTCAATTCTATCTTCCCATCCGTCGTCCATTTCTATGACAAGATCATCAATTTTCTTTACACTTGTGGAATCTAATGGAAGCTTACGTAGCTTTGGGCAGTTAGTTATGTGGACTTTCTGCAGACATGGAAAGGAAAGTGGACTCCAGTAGATGCTCGCCAGTTCACCCAAATAATCCAAATCAAGAACTTGTAGCTTTTTAAAAGGCTCAACGCGAACATCATCCCGAGCTTTTTCTTCGCTTATAAGTTCTTCCATCTTATGTGAAACCCGGATGCTTAACGACTCAAGATTTGCAGCATATATCAGCCATGTCACATCCTTGAGATGTTCGCACGAGATTAGTACCACAGCTGAGAGGTTCCTGAACCATGTATTGCTTGGAGTTATCTGACTAGCTGATGTAGATGGAGAATATCTGTTTATTCCCGTTGTCTCCGTCTCTATGATATCGCACTCTATCATTTCGAGTTTGGAAAGACTATCTAGCTCTCCGAAGGTGGCTGCAAATGACCTTCCTGATATTTGAAGTCGGTCGAGAAATAGACCCTGGGTACAACTTCGTATTTTTTTGCTTCCTAGAAAGGATTCCAAGGCATCGACGTCTCTTACAGTAATGGTCAAAAGTTCTAAAGCTTGAAATGTTTCCAAGCTCTCTAGTAGAGAGCGATCTAAAGGAGCAGAACCATAAAACCTCAAGACCTGCAACTTATCTAATCCTGAAATGATTCTGAGACTCCGAACATAGGATGTGGACTCCAAATTCAAGTGGATAAGTAGAATCAAATGTTTCAGACCTCCCAAATTCTTTATCCTCGTCCCTAACAAGTTGAGATAACGCAATGATACCAACTTTGAAATATCGTCGGGAAGCTCAGTGATGCCAGTGTTGCGAGATAGGTCCAAGACCACCAGATTCGATAGCAGACAGAAGAATCCGCCAACGAGATCTGCCAGCTTGTTATTCTGTAGGAACAAGGTTACAAGATTGGTAAACTGAGAAGAAGAGTTGGTGATGCTCTTGATCTCATTGTTCATCAGCGACATCTTGCTCACGGTTTGGCAATCTGGGACATACGGCATTTCCGTTAACCGAGCATCATCGGTTTGCACATGAAATCTTTTCCCATCTGTAACTTCATTTGCTATCCACAAGGCCATCTCACGGATCATATTATGCATATGCACTTTCCGCTCATCCTTCAATAACAGAGATGCACCAACAAGAGTATTGATTATCTCATTACCTATACGCTCTGCTCTTCTTCTTCCCTGACTTACGTCTATGATACCTTCACCTATCCAATACTCAACCAGCTCATCTTGGGTGATATTAGACGCCAAGGAAAACAGGGCGCAGTACTTGAAACACGACTGTGCATCCTTTTCGCCTCGTTCTAAGTAATCGTAGCTTACTTTCAAAACACCAAACATTTCCTTCTTCATACCTTCCAGTACAGCTGGATGAGAACCCAAAGTGCAGAGTACTTCACCCCAGTCAGCTTCAGTCGTTCTAGAAGACAGACACTTGCCAACGACCTCAAGGGCTAGGGGTAAGCCATGGCACTGTTTCGCAATCTCTTTCGAAAGATCAAGCATACCGCCACTTAGCCCGTCTCTTCTTCCCGCATTTTGCATTAACAAATCCAATGCCTCCTTCTCCCCCAAACATTCAACTTCTTTTTGCTCATTTGGATTCATCCTTCCACTGACACTCTTAGAGCGAGTAGTAAACACGATTTTGTAGTTCCCTCCCTGTCGCAGTGGGATCCCGATTTTTGTAAGACTTACCTCCTTCCATAAGCCATCCAATAAAAGCACGTATTTTGGTTTCTTATGTGTTAGAACATCGAATATAACACTACGTTTCTCGGTTTGGTCTTTTTTACACCACTTGTCGTCACATAGACGTAATCTTTTCCCGATATCATCTTGAATCTTCTCGATATCAACATCCTTCGACACTGTAACCCAAATGACAACATCAAATTTATCCACTTCCACGAACTTGTTGTTAATCCGAGTTAGGAGTGTGGTTTTACCCACCCCTCCCATACCGTACAGACCCAACATTCTAGTACCCTCTTCCATAAGAAGGCTCCATGCGCTGTCGAGTTTTGTATCAAGACCAACTGTTTGCTCGGTAGGTTGTTCTACTACCTTAGCAAGAGTAGACTGCCGAGTCAGCTCTTCGCAAATTTTTTCAGAAATGAGTTCGCTAACTTTAGCCAACTTCTTGGGAATCATTCTGCCACAGCTGTAGGCTGAGATGGGATTGGTGGAACAAAACCCATGGGTTGACAACCTTTCCCCTATAGGGGATGCCGTAGCAACCAGCACACTGGTTTCCTCTACAGCTTTTTTGGCTTTTAAAAGCCACCTTACCACTTCATCTTTTCGTCGCTGACCCTTGAATTCTTCAGCATTAACCCTGCCTTCCAGGTCAGTTATTTTTGCTTTAAGATCCTCGCAAGCAGTCTTCAAATCGTCAAGATTGTCGTCAAACTTGTAAATGTATTCTGCATGTACATGTGAAGCCAAGAAACTAAAAATTTGTTGAAAACTCGGAACAGCTGAACAAAGGCACCCAATAATGGTATCCATTGTAACACTGGATTCTAGAAAGACAACAGATATTCAAGAGGAGAAGAGCAAAACTCGAAGCTGGATATACTACGAGGATGTAAAAAATTGGGAGATGCAAGAGGGAAGCATATTTCGTTTAGGATCATTAACTACTGTTTGGTCTCATACGTATCGCATGTCATGATCGAAGACTTTGAATTTTATTACAAAATTGTCTCTACCCATCGATTACAAACTTGAACAGGTCAGCAAATTATATAGTTCACTCAAATCATGAGTGTATTATCTTCAAAAAAAATTATATTCAGAAGCCAACAATCAACGCGGCAAAAACCACACATATATACATTTTATAGCAAAATGGTGCTCCAGCCTTGAGCCCTTTACTAATATACCCTCCCCCCCCTTACGAATTTTCTAATGGATCTAAAATATACGATTATTTATTTTAATTTTTTTTTGTAAAAAATATGCAATTATTTCCTTTACTAAATCAATAGGTTTTAGAATACTAATGGCTGGACTAAAAGCTTTTAAATATTTTATACTTAAAAAAAAATCTAAATTTTATGTTTTGAAAATAATTTATTAACACTTAATCATTTATACAGATTAACATATTTTTCAATATATATATTACTAAAGATTTTTTTTAACTTTTCTATTATAATACAATAAAACCGTCAGATATAAATTTTAATAAAATGATTAAACAGATAAATATAAATATTAGATATGGATTTTCATAAGTTATATAACTACAACAACTGTAAAATTGTGAATGTAATCATTTTTATAATTAGTAGTAAATAACAATTTTATTTTTAAAATAGTATTAAAATTATAATCTTTTATTAAGTTATACAATTATTATTTAATAAATATAAAAAACACTTAAAACTACATGAAGATTTCAATATAATCTCTCAACCAGAATGTTTGTCTTATGTATGGACTGTCATAAGATTTCCTACTGAATATCAAATATACTTTCAAATCTTTAATCAGAAAGTGCAATTTTCTCAAATAACTCATTGTAAATTTTTATTACAAAAAGAACACTCAAAATATAAAATGAACAAAAAAGATTTCATTAAAGAGTTAAAAGATTTTTGTACACATTGCTTTACAAATGTATAAATAATAAAAATAAATATAAGATAAAAAGTACACGTTTCATATTCACATTTTTTTATATTTTTCGAAATTTTCTTTTTGATTTTTTTTTATTTTTTGAAACTCGAAAATGTTTTAAACTATTTTTCCAAATTTTATTTTTAATTTTAAAATTTATTTTTAATTTTTGAAGATTTTAAATCCTATCTAAAACCCTACCCTATAGCTCTAAACAAAAAAAAGGTTTAAGATTAGTTGACCATATGGTATAAGGGTATATTTGTTTTTATTTCTTTTGATCATTTTTCTATTTTAATTTTTTCTGTGAAAATAAATTTGAAAAGCTATCATAGAAAATTTCTCAATAAAAAATGAGATATCGTATTAATTTTTCGTAGAACTACAACTTAAAATATTAAAAACTAAGTAAACTGAACTGAATACCAGAAACGAAAAAGTTCAAGAGAATAGTACTACATAGACAATGTTACAATCGGTCTTGTTCTCGGTCCAGCCTACAACTTTGGTGTCTATAAACCAACTTGTTTTGTCACGTCGCAATTTCATCCACCTCCGAGTTAAAGACAAAACTTGGAAACGTGGTCGTTATGTCCCTGCAATTGAAATTTCAGACCTCAAACTTACCAAAAGGCACCAAAAGTTATCAAGTAGATAGGTTGCTTATCGTAAGGTGAAGAAACCTCAGACCTCAGATATGGAAGAGTCATTATCTTAAGCAAAGATGGGTTCTTCATTACGAAGTCGCTCCACTCTGCCTTACCAATCTTCCCATCGCGATCCACATCTGCGTCCTCAAATGTCTATTCAAGCCAAAGCAAAGGACCTGAGTTATGTAAAAGAGTCTCTGCTTTCGTAAAAGTAGAAGTTATGAGCATAGAAGAAACCTGATCGAGTATCACTTCTATGGTATCATCAGCTAGTTTTATTTCAGATTCGCAGAGAAGGGCAATCAACATTTGCTTCACCTGCCACATTCACATACACGATTTACGATTGCCCGCAAGAGTTTGTTCACTTAATGATGCAAAATCATGAACATTCATTCATGATCAGCTGTGAAAACATCTTGGCAACGTAACACGTTTATACAATAGATCAGATTCCAAGACGAAGTATCTCAGAAATGTATACCTCTTGGCGCTCAATGCAGCCCGTGCAGTCCACGTCGTAAAGCCTAAACGTGACTGAAATATAAATACAGACCAATGCGAATAAAAAAATCATGGGAAGGCTTTACAGAAGATATATTGAGTGATCTCACAAAGTCTTTAATGGTCATCTTACAGTCTGTTTTCTCCTCTAGAGAAGCATTAGGGTGAAATACATTGAGTGATCTCACAAAGTCTCCAAAATCAATGACACCTTTTCGTTTAACATCAAACAAATCAAATATCTGCAAAATAGGGTATTAACATTTAGTACTGGTAAAGAACCACTAGCTAAAAAGCTATACAGGTCTGCCAAACGTAAAGACTTTTACCCTATTGGCAAACAAATTTTCCTTCTTTCTCTTCTTGGACAAAGCAAGTTGAAATTCTTCCCGCAATACAAGTTGGTCGAGAAATAAGTAACAATATCCAAAACCAAACCAATAAAATAACAGAACTGCAAAAGAAGTTAACTGTCAATAAAAGGACTTGGTTAGCAATAAGGAGCCCACAGAACAGGATGGAGACACAATTATCACCTAATAATAAGTCGGTTAAAGTCAACAAAGTTGACATACATCGTTATGGATAATAGTCCATTGAATATAATATCACTTAAAACATCAAGCATTCAAGATCCGTGCAAACGAATCAAAGTCTTACTGATTATCAGTAGTACCTTGTTAATCAAGCCATCGTCAAGAACCGAGCTGCTTATGCTCTTGAATAACTCATACAATGCTTCAACTTCACTCACACTAACTGGTAAACACACAGAAATACGAAGCCATCAGTCATAAAGATCAAGTCAATTCAGTAAAAAATTGTATACGGCAATAAGAATGGTGATGACACACTTCTTGAAATTACTACGATCGAGATTCAACCCAATACTAGAAGAAAAATATACAGCAAACAAGCATCCTCGGAATGGAAAATAGAATCCACTGGCAGAACGAATAGACTAATGAATGGCCAAAACAGATGCACTGAGCTAACACGAATTCGTTTATGTTACAAGTAAACCCTAAACCCTAGAATCAAAGGACGAAATGATTGGAAAAAGCATAAACCCTAGATGCAAGTAAATTACAAAGATTCTCTGAGATTCGCTAAATAAGAATCAGATTTAACACGATTTGAATATCAATTCGAAAAACTAAACAAGTAATGTAGGCAGGGCTCCAGAATCTCCGAAAACGGAAATTCAAAAAGCGAAATCGGATTCAGTAGTTACCTCCGAGGGAAAACTCGCCGGCACGGAGAGAGAGAGGAAGGGATTTAACGAGAATAAGAGAGAGACGATGAAGATCTGTGATGATTGGCAGATGAATGATCCGACGGCTGACATTAACTGTGCATTTATTACTGGGCTTTTTGTTCGCAAGAGAGGCCGTTTGGGGAGATTATGATGAGAGTTTATAAGATGGCCATCGCACGTGTGAACGTTTCTATGCGTGCGGAACACCGAACTTGCTTTTTTTTTTTTTTATAACTTCATAACTTTATGGGAAATTGTACTCAATAACCTCCAAACACTTTATAATTCACTCCCTAACTAAAAACCCTACTTCATCTATACACCGTCTGTATTTTCCATATAATTCCCCTTCTGTCCTCTCACACAACCGGTCCAACTTATTTGCTAAAATAAAAAAAATATTTAATTACCACAGTTGTAAAGCTTACGCGTCTCATCTTTTACTTTCACTTCTTCTTCGTCTAATAACTTCTTCGCCATCCCTTTATCGAAAATATGAACAGTTGATCCACAATCAGAGTTCTCTCAGATTTCTCTCTGCAATCCACGCTCTCTGCAAGCAATTCTCTCTGCAATCAAAGCGAAGCCTACGGTTTCTGTACCGAGAGAAACATCCATCCCTTCTTACTCTCTCTCTATCACGCGGTGCCGTACCCCTAATCACAATTGGATAAGATTCCGACGCCGGCGATTTCAAGTTTCGACTCTCATCATCGTCCGCCGATCCTCACTCCTTGGTAAGCTCTGATTTTATCATTGCTGTGAAGCGTTTCTTATTCTAAATCAGCTTCCGTAATTATTCGGCTCTATATGTTTACTTGTATGTATGGCGTTTGGCTATTCTATGTTGCAGTCCTATTCTATTCTTCTTCGAATTTAGTTTCCATTATATAGCGGATTCGGGTTCTATTCTATTTCAAACTCGAATTCTATTCTGTTTATGATTTTTCATGGTTTGTTCTACTCGATTATAACTGACCGTCTTTAGTATTTTAAATTCTCAAGGTCGTAATGGAAGGTCAGGAACTGCGCAGCAGATTGTTTCAGACTAGTATTTTGACTTCTCAGGGTCTAGGATCACCACGAAAAATAGAAATTTTGACATTCTATTCTATTTGAAAATTATTAATAAATAATATAGTTTACACTTCGGGTTTGGGCTCACTGGTTAGAATTTTTGGCTTTAGTATTACAAGTTGGGTTTGGGTAGGGTTTAATATTACACGTTGGGTTTGGGTTTTTAATTTAGTTTGTGTTGTGTGGTTGGTTATGATTCAATTTTATTTGGTGATATGGATAGAATAGTCTTGTGGATTGTTGTTATTATTTGAAGATAATTATACAGTATGGTACAGGACCACCAAGACTGAATAGAAACGTTGACATTATATTCTATTGAAAATAATTACTAAAAAATATAGTTCACTCTTCTGGTTTGGGTTAACTGCTTAGGATTTTTGGGTTTAGTATTCCAACTTGGGTTTGGGTTAGGATTTTTGGGTTTAGTATTACAAGTTGGGTTTGGGTAGGGTTTAGTATTACACGTTGGGTTTGGGTTTTTAATTTAGTTTGTATTGTGTGGTTGGTTATGATTCTATTTTATTTGGTGATATGGATAATATGGTTATGATTGTTGTTTGGAGATAATTATACAGTATGGTATATAACCACCAAGACTGAATAAAAACTTTCACATTCTATTCTATTGAGAATAATTACTACAAAATATAGTTCACTCTTCTGGTTTGGGTTAACTGGTTAGGATTTTTGGGTTTAGTATTACAACTTGGGTTTGGGTTTATTATTTGGTTTATGTTGTGTGGGTTTGGTTATTATTCTATCATATTTGTGTGATATTGGAACATAATCTATACAAGTTCTTGTATTTAATCAGCTGCTTGTATTATACTTTTGTCACATATCATTTTTTTCTTTCTTCGCAGGCTAATGTTCGGGAGTATGTTAATTCAGATGCATGTGATGTTATTTTACATTGTGGGTTAGTGGATGTTCCAGATGAGAAGGTTGGGTACATGGTTTTGCTTATAGATGATGAACATCCATTTGAACACAATACATGGACCGGTGGAGTTAAAGCGGATGACGTGAAGCAAAAGAAAGTTGTTATAGAAGATATCGACGGAAGTGAAGGGAATCAAGTGGATGAAACTGTAGGACAAGAGGATTTCCGTACTGGGATTGATAGTGGAGTGAACAGACGAAATAATTTGCTACACCTACGAGTCATGTCATAGCACCTGCCACAACATCTGTCACAGCACCGAATGAATTGTTGTTTCTAACCAACAAAACTAAATAGAATAGTATGAGTTAATGTAGAATAGAATAGAAACATTGTATTGGTTAATCAAAGTTGTACATAGAAATCAAACTAAGTTGAACACTTTTTCTGTTTCATAAAGTACATGACTCACATTGTTAGTGAGATCATGGTTTATAGATAGCATAAAATGTACATCCCAAGTACACCAATATCTTTTTCAGCTCTGTTTATATGTGTTTCTTTAGTTTTCATATCCATAGAATAATCATCAACGTTTTGTTTTTCAAATGGAATAGAACACGTAAGAACACTATATGGGCATATAGTATAACAATGTAATACAATATCATGTTATATTTTGGACCACATATTTATTACGCACATGATTTTGCGGTAAAAACAAATGTGACATGGCTTTATTTTCTTACTTTTACCATACTATTTCATCAACTTGTACTATACTATATATTAAACTTTAATATATGTTTATGGTAAATACTAGACTAACGTGGCGAACCTATTCATCATTTATTTATGTTATTGTTTCAATGTTGGTAAGAAGATGAATTTATCCTATTTCATATATGGAATAGCTTTTTTATTCACAAAGATTTCTATTTTAACAACCCATTTATTGACTACATGGTTTACGTATGTGGTAATTAATTGAGTGACGTGGTGATTTATATTAACAAGTGAAGATTTTATATTGTCCATATATGTTTATTCATCGACTTCATCTTTTTCCACTCTTTATTACCGGCAACTTAGAAACAATAAGGGTATAACCGACTGAAACTTGAGCTAAATGTTATTTACCTAATAATGTCAAAATCATTGATATATCCTTCATTTCTCTTTCTCTTTTGTATATACACCAAATTTTCCCTAACTTTATTAACTTGATAATGAAAACAATAGTTAGAGGTATTGAAAACACTTGTCTTCGCTAATTTGTCAGCCACTTTGTTTGCTTCTCTACTGGTCTACTGAAAACCAACATTCTGTAGCTTATCTTTTCACCACCATATTTCTCGCTTCCAATTATAGGTAGAAAACTGTAAAATCTTGTTATTTAGGACATCTATTGCCTTCTTACAATCTGATTCTATGAGAATGTCTTTGTATCCTTTATTCCAGCAAAACTGAAGTGCCATTAGTATTCCTTGAAATTCACTTTCCAATGGAGAACAAACTTTAGAGCCTCTCGCCTGCACTGCATCTTGATGGTATCCATTATGATCTCTTATAACCCATCCTGCTGTAGCTTCAATTTGGTTGTTAATGAAAGTAGCATCCACATTACATTTAATCCAGTTGACCGGGGGAACTCTCCACATCTCTTTCCTTCGTCTTATAGATCGTCTAGTAGTCTGTTGAACAACTTCATCTTCTTGTCTATTGGAATTTTTCCATTCTCGAGCATCACTCCTAGCTTTTCCTAAAACCGTTCTCCAATGAGATTGTTTGTGTTGAAATAATAACATGTTACGACTCTTCCAAATCCTCCATAGTATCCATATGGGTAAATCATCAAAATGACTCAATTGCCCACTTATAGAACACTGCAAACACGCTTCCATTTTAAGTTCCAAAGAGGCATTAGGATCTTCAATAATTGAATTACCAATACCAGATTCCCTCCTAATCTTTTTTGCATACGAGCATTCAAAAAATAGGTGCTTCTCTGTTTCTTCTTCGTTCCAACATCGTTTACAAATTGTATCAGAAGTAACATGTCTTCGTCGTAAATTATTCCCTGTTGATAGACATCTTGACGACATACGCCAAAGGAAATGTTGAATCTTAGCAGGAACTTTAGACTTCCAAACTTTTTGTTTTATTACGGTAACACCATGTGTTGGGATAATGTGAATATTGCCCAGAAGGTGTGTTGCGACCCAGTAACCTGACTTAACAGAATAAATTCTATTGTCATTGTAGTGCCAACCCATCAAATCTTGCTTTGCTTTAGAACTAAACCGCAGTTCTAAAATCTTATCGATGTCCTCAGAAACTACATCCGCCCTAAGTTTATCGATATCCCATTGAGTTCTATCATTTGTGAGATAATCACATACCTTGGAACTCAAGTCAACCTCCCTTCTTGTTCTTGGTGGTCTCATAGGATGTAAACTTAACCAATTATCAGTCCAGAAATTAGTAGTTGTCCCATCACCAATAATGTATCTCATTCCTTTAACGATCAATTCTTTTCCAAAGAGAATAGACTTCCACCCATATGAAGATTTTTTCTTTGGAATAGCTTTAAGTATATCCCCATTAGGGAAGTAACGCGCTTTGAGAATTCGAGCCATCAAACAATTTGGATGTTGCAGAATTCTCCAAACTTGCTTCCCAAGCAATGTCTGGTTAAAAGACTCAAGATCCTTAAAACCGAGCCCACCTTCTTTCTTAGGAATACAAACCCTATTCTAAGCATACCAATGTAATCCTTTATTCTCTCCTGATCCCCACTAGAACCGTGCCAATATCGCGTTGATCTCCTCACATATTTCTTTGGGAAGCCTAAAGATGTTCATAGAGAAAATAGGCATTGATAACGCAACTGCTTTAAGCAATGTCTCTTTGCCTCCAGGTGATAGATGTCTCTGTTTCCAACCCTGTACCACCTTCTTAACCTTGTCGATAATATAAGTAAACATCTCACTCTTTCTTGTTCCAAATTGTTCTGGCAAACCCAAATATTTCCCTATACCACCTTCATTATGTATACCTAACACACTCCTCATTCGTGTTTTAACTTCAACACTAACCCTACTTCCAAAAGTAATAGTGGATTTATTAAGGTTGATTGCCTGACCCGAGGCTGCTTCATACCGTGCAAAAATCTGTTTTAGCTTTCTTGCTGATTTGAGGTTTGCTAGAGAGAAGAAGAGTGAGTCATCGGCAAAGAGTAAATGATTAACTGCAGGAGCCTTAATGGCTATCTTTACTCCTAGTAAAGATCGATCTTCCATAGCTTTAGTGCAGAGATGAGATAAAACTTCTGCACAAAGTATGAATAAGACTATTACTTATTTACACAAACTTCTGCACAAACTTCTGACCTTAATGGCTATTTTTGCAATGTAAGGAATTCTTTAAGACTTTTACCATCCAACATATCACAAGGATGAAACACACAATGGCTGATCTCGCACATGGTGCGCAAAATCTGTCTTCTACTAAGATT